CTCTCTCAGTGCCCCTCGTGGTCCTGCTCTCTAGGCAGTTTGAGGCGCACTCTCTGTGCTCCTTGTCGGAACTTTGAAGCACTCTCTCAGTGCTCCTCATGATCCTGCTCTCTCAGCAGTCAGATGCACTTTCTCAGTGCCCTGAATAGCAATAATTAGTTAGTAGTAGTATTCTTCACAATCATTGCGACTGAGATGCAGGCCGTGCTGTTGGCTGCGATGGGAAAGCGAAGGCCGAGGACAGTACAACTTTTGGCGCACTCGCAGCGGAGAACTGAGCCCCAGGCCTCGATCCTCGACGTGGCATTGATTGCTGACCTTGCATGGTCACAAAGGCAAGTCGCTTAACTTCTGGAGTGTTGTCGACTCTGCTTGCTTCGCAGTCAACATGAACCTGAACATGACTGCACTGTGAGAGTGCGTTCAGCAGTGGGGACATGAAATGTCAATCTTGTCCTAGCTAGCACAATATGTCTTGTCACCGCATCTAATGCCCAAGATGCCACAGAGTGTGGCCCATCACGCATGATGCTTCCGTGACACAACATGTCATGCAGCTCAGGGACCCCATGCCCTAAACCCTAAACCCAGAACCCTAAACCCACATGACAAGCTATAGGCCGCATGTGAAGTCTCAGGGGCACAAGATATCATGGATTTCGAGTTTCTTATTCACGAGCCCCAACCACTATTTCCCAGAGTGACACAAACCATCATGCGTGACATATATCCAAGTGCCAAGCCTACGTACGACCCATCATGCATGATACTTCGAAGTTCGAATTGTCCGTAATAGCACGTACTTGAATATGTTCACTGAAAACCCGAGAATTACCCCACCCTAGTGCAAACAAAAAAACGCAGAAGCGAGATACTACTCGTCGCCCAAAGACTCTTAGTCTTGTTCTCGAGCATGGCAAACCATGGTGAGAACTGGTGGCAGCAATGGGACGAGTGGAGGGACGACGACTGGACCCGGAGCGACGACAATCAGGACTGGTGGGGAGAAGATGCTGCTGGTCACGGTGATACTGCGGCGTCAAGCTCAGCAGCAAGGCCAAAGACGGCCCCGAGGTCAAGCTCAGCAAGGCCCAAGCAGGCCCCGAAGTCAAAAGCAAAAGCAAAGCCCGCGGCTGCGCCTAACTCCCGGGATAGGCGAGACTTTGAGCGGTGGAACAGCGACCACCGCAAGATGCTCCTCGCACAGGAAGAGCTGCGGAGAGCAGAGGAGAGGGTCGAGGCGGCCGAGGGCGAGATCTGGTCTCTTGAGATAGAGAGAGACCAGGCGAAGGAGCAGCTCTCGTCCCAGAGGAGCAGAAACGAGGGTCTCCTCAGAGACGTCGCAAAGGCGATGGCTGGCAAGGTGGAGGCGGAGCGGCAGCGCGATGGTGCGAAAGCAGACACGGTCCGAGCGCTCGCCGACAAGGCCACAGCCGAGAGAAAGCTGGACACGGCGCGGCAGGAGTTCAAACGGGAGACGGACCAGGACCGAGCCCAGATCAAGGCATTGACAGAAGCCAACAAAGCGATGAAGCGCGACTTCGACGCCTTCAAGGTGGGCTCTCTTGGAAAACTTCTTCATTTTGTCGCCCTGACTGAGCCTGAGCAGGCCTTGATGGAAGGGAAAGAGAAGAAGGCCAGAAAAGAGCAGGCCTTCATGGAAGGGAAAGAGAAGAAGGCCAGAAAAGAGACAGAAGCCAAGGCTGGGTTCTCATCATCAGTTGGTCCAAAAAGGAGCGACACGAACTTTTATTTCCGCCGTGGCAGGAAGCGGAGATTGCGGCTCTTCGAGCCGAGATGGTAGGGTTCTCAGTCATCGTCAGTTTGTCCAAAAGAGCGAGCGCTTGCAGTGTCAGGAGAAGGAGCGCAGCGAGAAGGTTGGATTCTCATTGCCATTCACGTTTGTGCGAGAAAGAGAGATAGTCCAGCTGTCATTATGCATTGTGCAGGAGAAGGTCGGAAAGATCATCGACGAGCTGACAGAGGAGAAGGCGGTAAGCTGAGTATGCTCAGCCCTGGGTTCAATCACAGATCTCGCCCGGTCAGGAGCGCTACAAGCTGCTGTGCGCAGCTTTCGAGCGGCAGTGGAACGAGGCCACTGTTGCTGGCTTGAAACCTCACTCATCGACTCATCGTGAGATCTTTCCTTCAGGTGAACGCTCCGAAGGAGGCGGCTCCGAAGTTTCCCAATGCTCGGCCCTTGAAGGCCGTGTCCGGTGGAAATGTTGCGCGCCATGATGTTTTGCAACCCCATGCAGGTGCATGCTCCCCCTTCATCTCCGGCCAAGGCCTCTGCACCCGAGGCCCGATGTCGACCTGGTGCTACTTCTGTTCGTGTGCCATGATGTTGTGAAACTCCATGTAGGTGCTTGCTGCCCCTCTTCCACCCGAGGCATCTGTGCCCGAGAATGACCTTTCTGCAATTATGCCCTGTGTGTTGCACACATTTGGATTGCACAGGTGTCCCCATTGCCCGAGGGGGTGCCTGTGGAGGCTTGGCCTCCCCCGCTGCCAAAGGCCCGCCACTTTGAGAAGCTGCTGTTCCTGCGTAGCTGTGGCTCTATTTTGGACTGTCCCAGCCATCCCATCTCTTCTTCCTGCAGGCCACTGGAACGAAGGCCATCACATGGACTGGTTTACCCACAGACACACAGAATTTGATGTCCCCGGCAGGTTGCCATGACATCCATGACCACCAGTGGGTCTTCAGCAGAGGCCTGGCAATTTTTGCACTCGGTTGGTGCCCGGACCCTTGTTTGGAGAAGTGGATATCATGTTTGTTCTGCATGTAAAGTTGCTTCAAAAATGGAGGCTCCCCCCACGAAGAAAAAGCGATTGGAGCCGACAAGCAAGTTTCCTGCCATTGCGGCGACGACAGCCCCAGACTCAAGAAAACGCATCTAGTGGATGGAGAGTCGCAGCGAGCCCCTTTCCCAGCCTTGCAACCATCATTATGTCAGGTGCCGTTGCCAAAAACTCCAGCTCCAGAGGCTTGGAACCCAGTGTGGGCCAAATTTCCCAAATGCACATGATTCTGTCAGGTGCCGTTGCCAAAGACTCCA